AAAACAGCAAAGGACTTAAACAGACATTTCTCCAAAGGAGACATAGACGTGCTAAATAAACACAAAGAAAAAAATAAACATCACTGATCATTAAGGAAATGCAAATAAAAACCATAAATAAGTGTGTGGGGGGAGCAGGGTCCGTCTCCCGCAACATGGCGGGGCGCCCAGGAGACAAATAAGTACTGAGACTGTGGACTGAAAACTCTATGCGTCTGATCTGATCTCCCACCGTATGGCACTGAGAGAGAGTAAACAAATCTGACACAGCTGCTTCGTCAATTAGCTGATTCCTGATTGGAAGAAAGTGGCGTGCTCAGCACACAGGCAGCAGAGCACGGATTGGTGGGAGAGGACTATAAAAGGGGGAGAGAGACAACATGCGGGGCCCCCCTGAGAGAGTCGGTCGGGGGGGAGCTCATTGGTGCCGCTCCTCCGCGAAAGCAGGAGAGCGGCAGGGGTGCCGCTCCTCCGCGGAGGCTGGGGAGCGGCAGCAAATCCGGGAAGGACCAGGGAAAGAAAACAGCGTCCGGTGTCGTTCCTCCGCGAGTGGGGGAGCGACAGTGTGGGCAAAAAAATCAGAGAAATTGGAACCTCTGAACACTACTGATAGAAAAACCAAGTGGTGCAGCTGATATATAAGGTCAGAGAAGTTGTGATATTAAAATATTACTGCATTGGGGCAGGTGCAGTGGCATAGCAGGTAAAGCCGCCACCTCTAGTGCTGGCATCCCATATGGGTGCGAGTTCGAGCCCCGGCTGCTCCTCTTCGCATCCAGCTCTCTGCTGTGGCCTGGGAAAGCAGTGGAGTATCGTCCAAGTCCTTGGGTCCCTGCACCCGAGTGGGAGATCTGGAGGAAGCTCCTGGCTCCTGGCTTCGGATGAGGGCAGCTCCAGCCATTGCGGCCATTTGGGGAGTGAAGCAGCAGATGGAGATTTTTCCCTCTGCCTCTCTCTAACTCTGCCTTCAAATAAATAAATAAATAAATCTTTAAAAAAATAAAAATAATAAACAATAAAAATATTACTGCAATTCCTCAAAAAACTAAAACCAGAGTTGCCACATGATCCAGTAATTCCTTTCTGGGTATGCATCCAAAATATTTCAAAGCCGAATTCCAAAGAAATATTTGCATAACCATGTTCATAGCAGCATTATGCATAACAGCCAAGAGGCAGTCACAACTGTCCACAAGTGGATGAACAGATCAGCAGAAATGTGGTAAATTCACGCAGTGGAATATTATTCACCCTCAAAATGGAAAGAAATTCTGACAGATCCCACAAACGGATAATCCTTCAGAACATTATGCTAGATGAAATTAGCTAGTCAGAAAAGCACAAATACTGTATGGTTCTACTTGTAGTCAGAGTCACACAAACACAAAGTAGAACGGTGGTTACCAGGGCCTGCGGGCAGGAAATGGAGTTGTTCCAGGGGTCCAGACTTTCAGTTTTGCAAGATGAAAAGGTTGTGGAGGTCAGCTATGCAACTAATGACATGCACTAAACAATTGTTAAGATGATAAATTTTGTGTTATGTATATCTTGCCACAATTTTTTAAAATAGTCAAAGCAAAATACTGTAACTCAGAGCAAGAAAAAACACGGGTGAATATTAACTGGGAAAGATGACAGGGATTTTTTTTTACAGCTAAAAGTAATGGAAAAACATTTCAAATCAGTAGACCTGAAAAGAAATTTAAACTCACTACATGTAACATTATTATTAAAAGTTAAAGAGCAAACAACAGCGCAGACACTTGGCTTAATGCTTAAAACACCTGTGGGGACAGGCATCCCACATCAGAGTGCCTGGGTTCAAGTCCCAGCTCAGCACCTGATATCAGCTTCTTGCTAATGCAGACACTGAGACACAGCAGTGACGGCTTGAATAACTGGGCTCCCATTGCCCACTTGGGAGACCTAGATTGAGTTACTGCCTCGCAGCTTTGTAAGCTTTTGGGAGATAATCAGCAATGGTAGCTCTGTCTTTCAAATAAAATTAAATAAATAAAAATCTTTGGAAATGAACATAACATACAATTTACAGAAGACATAAAGTTACTCTACTGGAAATCTACACCCACTAAAAATTGTCTAAAAGTGACACAAAGATTCTTAAATAAAAATGCTCTTTACATACAGTGAAATAAAATTGAAATAAAAATTGGTTGTACAAAAAAAAAAAAAAAAACCAGAGGCATCACAATACCAGATTTCAGGACATACTACAGGGCAGTTGTAAACAAAACAGCATCGTACTGGTACAGAAACAGATGGATAGACCAATGGAACAGAATAGAAACACCAGAAATCAACCCAAACATCTACAGCCAACTTATATTTGATCAAGGATCCAAAACCAATCTCTGAAGCAAGGACAGTCTATTCAATAAATGGTGCTGGGAAAACTGGATTTCCACATGCAGAATCACAAAGCAAGACCCCTACCTTACACCTTATACAAAAATCCACTCAACATAGATTAAAGACCTAAATCTATGACCCGACACCATCAAATTATTAGAGAACATCAGAGAAACCCTAAAGATCTAGGCACAGGCAAAGCCTTCTTGGAAAAGACCCCGGAAGCACAGGCAGTCAAAGCCAAAATTAACAATTGGGATTACATCAAATTGAGAAGCTTCTGTACTGCAAAAGAAACAGGAAAGTGAAGAGGCAACTGACCGAATGGGAAAAATATTTGCAAACTACACAACAGATAAAGGGTTAATAACCAGAATCTACAAAGAGATCAAGAAACTCCACAATATCAAAACAACAACCCACTTAAGAGATGGGCCAAGGACCTCAATAAACATTTTCTGAAAGAGGAAATCCAAATGGCCAACAGACACATGAAAAAATGTTCAGGATCACTAGCCATCAGGGAAATGCAAATCAAAACCACAATGAGGTTTCACCTCACCCCGGTTAGAATGGCTCACATTCAAAAATCTACCAACAACAGATGCTGGCGAGATGTGGGGAAAAAGGGACACTGATCCACTGTTGGTGGGAATGCAAACTAGTTAAGCCACTATGGAAGTCAGTTTGCAGATTCCTCAGAAACCTGAATATAGCCCTACCATACAACCTAGCCATCCCACTCTTTGGAATTTACCCAAAGGAATTTAAATTGGCAAACAAAAAAGTGGTCTGCACCTTAATGTTTACTGCAGCTCAATTCACAATAGCTAAGACCTGGAACCAACCTAAATGCTCATCAACAACAGACTGGATAAAGAAACTATGGGATATGTACTCCACAGAATACTATACAGCAGTCAAAAACAATGAAATCCGGTCATTTGCAACAAAATGGAGGGATCTGGAAAACATCATGCTGCATGAAATAAGCCAGTCCCAAAGGGACAAATATCATATGTTCTCCCTGATCGGTGACAACTAACCAACCACAAAAAAGGAACCTGTTGAAGTGAAATGGACACTATGAGAAACAATGTCTTGATCAGCCCTTATCCTGACTGTTGATGTACAATTTAATACTTTATCCCTTTTAGTATTTTTTTGTTCTACTTAATACCATTGGTTGAACTCTTTAATTAACACACAATTATTCTTAGTCATTTAAAGTTAACTGAAAACTGATCTCTGTTAAATATAAGAGTGGGAATAAGAAGGGAGGAGATGTACAGTTCAGCACATGTTCGCTCAGACTTACCCCTAATGGTAGAGCTAGAAACCTGCCAGGGAATTCCAATTCAATCTCATGAAGGTGGCATGTACCAATGCCATCTCACTAGTCAAAGTAATCAGTTTAAGTTCATAATTGATCATAATGATAGGACTAAGAGTCAAAGGGATCACATAAACAAGACTAGTGTCTGTTAATACTAACTGATAGAATCAAAAAGGGAGAGGACGATCCAACATGGGAAGCAAGATGCACAGCAGACTCATAGAATGGCAGATGTCCTAAACAGCACTCTGGCCTCAGAATCAGCCCTTAAGGCATTCGGATCTGGCTGAAGAGCCCATGAGAGTATTTTAGGCATGGAAAGCCAAGACACTCTGGGGGAAAAAAAAAAAAACTAAATGAAAGATCTCTGTAAGTGAGATCCCAGAAGAAAGAATGGGCCATCAAAGAAGGAGGTACCTTTCTCTGAAGGGAGGAGAGAACTTCCACTTTGAACATGGCCTTGTCTAAATAAGATCGGAGTTGGTGAACTCAAAAGGCTTCCATAGCCTTGGCAACTCATGACAAGAGCCTAGGGAGATTACCAACGCCATGAACAAGAGTATCAATTTGTTAAGTCAACAACAGAAGTCACTGTGCATTTACTCCTCATGTGGGATCTCTGTCCTTAATGTGTTGTTCAATGTGAAGTAATGCTATAACTAATACTCAAACAGTATTTTACACTTTATGTTCTGTGTGGGTGCAAACTGATGAAATCTTTACTTAATATATACTAAATTGATCTTCTGTATATAAAGATAATTGAAAATGAACCTTGATGCAAATGGAAGGGGAGAGGGAGCAGGAAAAGGGAGGGTTGCAGGTAGGAGGGAAGTTATGGGGGGGTAAAAGCCATTGTAATCCATAAACTGTACTTTGGAAATTTATATTTACTAAATAAAAGTTAAAAATGGTTGTGAACATATTATAGTATATATATACATATATATTGTTTTCAAACATCAGGCAGACATTTTTACAAAGAATCACAAGAGAAAAATACACCAATGTGATGCTACATAAAATAAAAAAGAGACCAAGTAAGATACACAGTTTTAGCACAATTACATTATAACATTTACAAATATGCAATACACAGGTGCACAGAAAAAAATATGGAAGGAATCATAATTTAACAGCATTTATCTCTGAATAATTCTTACCATTTTTTCTTCAAAAGTGTCTATATTTTCAAAATTCTCTATAATTTAAAAATATATTCATTTCAAAAAAAACTAATAAACAAAAGCATTTAACCATACATTGTATAATTTGAAACCTCAACACCACTAACCTGTTATCATGGTTGGACTAAATAGTCCCAGCACTGACACACTAGAATAGGAGAGCAGGTCTTTATATAATTCCCCATGTAAGTATTGTTCTGCTTCTTGTATTGATGTTATGTTCACTGGATATGAAATTCTGTTGCTGGATAAACACAAAACCATATTCAAAATTAATTTTTAAAGATATTTTCCAATTCAAAAAAATTAAAACATACTGAACTTAGTAAGCAATATATTACACAGGATAAATAACTAACAAATTAACATAATTAAATATTTTTATTTTGAAACATCAGCTTCAAATAAAATTATTTACTCCAAAGTAACAGAGTATGCATAGGCCCTCATTAATACCGTATCTTTGATCTCAATTCCATTATCCTCCTCAACCTATTCAAAGTATATCAACAATGTATGGCTACTAGGACTTCTACAAACCCCCAAATTTAGAAATTTTGTAGTGAAGCTGGGTACTTACAGCTGGATAAATTTTAGGAGATCTTCAGTTCCTAACATACCAGCATAAGATACTGGGTTCTCACCCTCCTTGTACATCTTTACAACAGGAAATTCAGTAACATTTTGCTTAGTACATACATCAGTCCAGTCTGCACAGTTTATTCTGGTAAGAAGCATAGTGGATGTGCCTAAGTAAAAGGAAAAGGCACACTTTAGAAATATCAATGTCAAAAACTCATCTGTGTAGACTGTTCACGATTTTTCTATCCCATTCTTTTTTTAGTGTTTAATTATTTTCATCTACTTAAAAGGCAGAGCTAGAGAGTGAGAGGTTTCCATCTACTGGTTCTCTCCTAAAATGCCCACAAAAGCCAGGAATAGATCAGCCTGAAGCTGCAAAAATCCTCAACAAACTATTGGTGAATCAAATCCAACAACACATCACAATGATCATTCACCCAGACTAAGAGGGATTTATCTCTGGTGTGCAGGCATGGCTGAACATTCACAAATCAATAAACATGATGCATTAACAAACTGAAGAACAAAAACCACATGGTTATCTCAATAGATACAGAGAAAAGCATTTGACAAAATATAATATCTTTTCATGATAAAAACTTTAAGCAAACTGGGTATAGAACATTCCTCAACACAGTCAAGGCAATTTATGACAAGCCCACGGCCAGCATCTTAGAAAAAGTAAAACTTTTAAAAAATTGAAAACAAAATGTAAAAAGCAGTATTTTAATATCACTAAAAGTTTTTAAGTATGTTCCCAATTAAAAATGTGTAGAATGTACACTAATATTTTTTCACTCTACAGTATATTAGTATCTGAATATTATAAGCAAAGGTAACTCATTCCTTCCCATCTGAGAATTATCTTTTCATCAATTTATCAATAAATATTAACAGATGCATATTTATTTGGAGTACTACATTAAAAACTGCCATCCAGGTATGCAATACAGTGCTATGACACATGCAGTTCCCTCCTGTGAGTAGGCACCCTCACCTACCATTGTTTAAAACCTTATTCTCTTGTCCTTGCAATGATGCAAACTGTGATATTATTTTTAACACTGTAAAAAGAATACTGATACATGTCATTAAAATACATAAAGCTACTTATACTGAAGTCATCAATTTTAAATTTTTATTCTTTTTTCTACAAAATGGTTTCAGTATGTAGTTCTGCTTCAATCTGAATTATCTCAAATTCTAGGATTCCCACAATATTAGGTCCCAGATATTCTATCTATGTAACAATTTCAGATAGGAAAAAAATAGATTCTCTTTGATACAGATACTACAGGAGTATAAAAATTTGTCATTTGCTGCCACCTTGTGACTGAGTTAAAAAATGTTCTTCATTGTTTTGAACTAGATGGAAATATGACTTTTTCCCTAAGAAGTCAATATGAAAGACAGATCATAGGACTAAATTCCCAAAGTATTACAATGTTTTCCTAATCTATAAAAGTACAGTTTCAGCTTCAAAATGCTCACAAAATTCAATAGTTACCCATATTATGCATTTCTACATTAAGCCCCTGAACCTGCAAAATATCCTATTTATCTAATTACTAAAAGGATTTTTGTTAATAATGAACACATCAAATGAAATCAAGTCTTGGGGTGCTTATCTGCTTTTTATTCAATAAATATATACTCATACAACTCAAAAACTGAGTGATGCATACAGTCCTGGGTAGCTGAGAACAAGCCTATTTAACCATAAAATTCTATTTACAAATCAACAGAGCAGGAGAAAATCATACTACAGATTCAATGCATGATACACTGTATGTTATTCAAATAAACATTATGCACACACATTCCATCAGTACCTTTCTTACTAGCAGATCCCCCTAATTCTCACTGTGTCCTTGCTGGGATATTTTGAATTAAAGGCCAATGCTTGAGTTCTCATTTGCCCACTCTTAAAACCAGGTTTCACAGAACAGTTAAAGTAAGGAATACTGTACACCACAGGGTAAGCTGCCCCTTGAGACGCCTGCATCCCATATTGGTGTGCCTGTAATCAGGCCCTTTCTCCACTCTGAGCCAGCTTCCTGCTACCCTGCCAGGGAGACAGCAGATACTGGCACACGTGCTTAGGTTTCTGCCACCCAGGAGGGACTTCTGGATCAAATTCCTGGCTTCTGGCTTTGGCCCAGAGTAAACCAGTAGTTGAAAGATCTTTTTCTCTGCCTCTCCCTCTTCCTCACTCTGGCTTTCAAATAAATAAAATGAATCTTGCTTTGTTAAAAAAAAATAGTTAAAAAGTTCTTGGCTATTAAATATCCTGTGGGGCCAACACTGTAGTGTAGTGGATAAGCTGTTGCCTCCAATGCCAGTGTCCCGTATCAGAGCACCAGTTCAATGAGATCCTGCTGCGCTGCTTCCAATCCAGCTCCCTGCTAATGCTCCTGGGAAAGCAGCAGCAGATGGTCCACATGCTTGAGCCCCTGCCCATACGGGAGACCCAGATGGAGCTGAGGCTCCTGGCTTCAGTCTGGCCCAGACTTGGCCATTGCAGCTGTTCGGGGAGTGAACCAGCAGATGAAAAATCATTTTGTGTCTATGTCACTTTGCTTTTCAAAAAAAAAAAAAAATCATGAAAAGAAAAAAGAAATATCCTGATCCATAAGGATCTAATCTAATTATGTAACTTCAAGAACACAGGAAAGGGGCTGGTGCCTTGGCATAGTAGGTTGGGCCTCCACCTGCAGTGCCAGCATCCTATTTGGGCACCAGTTCGTGTCCTGGCTGCTCCACTTCCGATCTAGTTCTCTGCTGATGGCCTGGGAAGGCAGTGAGGATGGCCCAAGTGCTTGGGCCCCTGCATCCATGTGGTAGACCGGAAGGAAGCTCCCAGCTACTCCCTTCGGATCTGCCAGCTCTGGCAATTGCGGCCATTTGGGGAGTGAACCAGCAGATATAAGGGGGTGAGTGTTGGGGGGGAGTGGCGGGGGGAGTGGGGAGGATGTGGGTGTGTGTGTCTTGCCCTCTGTAGCTCTGTCTCTCAAATAAATTAATTTTAGGCCGGCGCCACGGCTCACTAGGCTAATCCTCCGCCTAGCGGCGCCGGCACACCGGGTTCTAGTCCCGGTTGGGGCGCCGTATTCTGTCCCGGTTGCCCCTCTTCCAGGCCAGCTCTCTGCTATGGCCCGGGAGTGCAGTAGAGGATGGCCCAGGTGCTTGGGCCCTGCACCCCATGGGAGACCAGGAAAAAAAGCACCTGGCTCCTGGCTCCTGCCATCGGATCAGCGCGGTGCGCCGGCCGCAGCGCGCCGGCCGCGGCGGCCATTGGAGGGTGAACCAACGGCAAAGGAAGACCTTTCTCTCTGTCTCTCTCACTGTCCACTCTGCCTGTCAAAAAAAAATTAATTTTAAAAAAGGAACACAAGAAGGTGTGATCTTCCATTAGACTGTGAAACTAGGTATTACATGTCAAATTTTTATCGCCAGTATTTACTGGTAATTGGCTCAGAGTAGGCACTCAGTAAATGCTTGTTGAATGATTTAATTCAGCCAAGGAGGTTATTGGCTTAACTGTGTAGCCACAAGTACTTAATACATAGGTTCTCTAAAGATAGTCCCCTGACTATAACAAAAGTGAACACTTCTAAGCATTTTTATATTCTTGACTTACTCACTTAACCTCAGAGACCTAACAACCACATTTATGTGCATAATAACCTGAAATTTTATGTGGCTTTCTGCATCTTTAGCACACAACAGTTTTACAAATAGCTACATTTCAGAATCAGGAAAATGAGCATGCATGCCAGAGTACAGTACCTTTCAATTTAGCTGCCACATCAATATAGGACTGCAGGAACGCCATGGATACTGCCTGCCCTGCATTAAAATAAAAAACACAACAAATACCACAGCTGTGTGCCTCCAAAGCACCTACACTATATATAGCAAACATAGAGACCTACGGGTTTCTCAAAGGTATTATTTCTGAATAAGAAATATCATAGTGTAAGTATTCAGTGTTATCCAACTATTTATGACGGTTCCAAATGCAACTAATTTTCTACATTCTTACTGCAGGGGATATAAATACATGGCTAATTAAAGTCTCATGAAAGCAACATCTATCAATCTGCATTTCTATCAATCTGTAAGTACTGGTAATATGTTAAAATCTTTAGCTTCAATCACAATAGCTCTTCAAAATTAATGACCTGGAGATATACTTTAATCACTAACCTTCAATTTTTAAATCAGATAAGATACAAGCGCACACACACACACACACACCAGTTTTACAACCATAGAATCACTTAGAAGTAAATGCCTCAAGATATGTGGTCCACTGGATATCTAAAACTTACTGCCATTTCACAATGTGCAAAATAGAGAATGCAATAATAAAATCGGTCTACCTGAAACATACTAATATGTAATAGTGTCATCTCCAAAGACTCATACTCACAGCCAGCATAGAAGAGCACTAGGCTGTCAGAAGCCATTACTGTTGCATTAAACGTCTCTTCTGTTAGTTCTACTGTCAGCTCCAAGGGTAACTGTCTTTTCCTATCTCTGTACACAGTTTCTGCTACTTCATCATCCTGAATATCTAGAATGTTTAAAAAAATTAATTCAAAAGTAGATTTATAATTAAATATACTTAAGCTCATTTCATAAGCAAATGTATTAAAGTAGCTACCATATGAAAACTATGCATATTTGAAAACCTTCCCAGTTGCCAGGCTTCCAATCTGAAATGACTCTGAGATGCTTTCTGACCCAGAAATTACAGTTTGCTCAACTCGGGAACAAATTATTTAAATTTCTTCTGCAAATAATACAAATATTGCCATTTGGTTTCTAACCAACATACTAATGTATAATCCTAAAAGATCTTAGCATATGTGCCTGACAGTGCTTGTTTAACCTCTACTGTGGGAGACACCAGGGAAAGTGATAAAGGAGACAGACACAGTCCCTGAGTGCATGGAACTTCTGTATGTGGAAAAATCAGACAATTAACTGACCAAACATAATTGCAGATCCTCATTGCTTTATGAAGAAGGGTAAAGGATATGGTAAAAGATTTTAACAGGAAGATTTAGACTGGAAGATCCAAAGTCTGCCAGGTAGAAAATCAAGAAAAGAATACTTTTGACAAAAATAATTGACATGCAAAGGCTCTGAGACAGAAGAATTTAGTGTATACGACGCAGTGAGAGAAGGAAAACTTGACTGAAACGAGGTGGGGCTGAAGCAACGAATGAGAACTCCAGAGCAGGTGGACCCTGAGAGGCCAAATAAGCCAAGGATTTGGGGTTTTACTCCAAGTGCATGAAGTATGGATAGATTCTGACTACATGAAAACCTGGGTGGGTGGTTTTTTTTTTTTCTTGATTTTTATTTACACAAGAGGCAGAAAAAAGTGAGAGAGAAAGAGCAAGAGAGCACTCCCATCTAATGGTTCACTTCCCAGAAGGCCCCCAACAGTGACTGCTGGGCCAGGGCTGAGAGGTGGCAGCCAGGAACTTAATCCAGGTCTCCTGCATGGGTGGTAGGGATCCAACTACACGGCCATCACCCACTGCCTCCCAGGGTTCACATCAGCAGGAAGCTGGAATCAGGAGCAGAGACAGGGATTGAACTCGGCTTCTCAAGTCAGATGTGGGTGTCTCAAGCTGCCTCTTAAACATTGCACCAAACACCCAACCCTTTCAGGGAATTTAAACTTCTATACTCCCCGACACTAAAAAGTTATACCTTCAGTACCAAAACTAGTAAAAGTCTGGGTTTTTTATTTTATCGGTTTTTCTTATATATTTTAGCTTTACCTCTAACTCATCTTTTTTCTCTTATTTTGTTCCAACATGTCCTTTCCCACCTCCCTACCTCTTAACCAATTCTCTTCAACTGTGTATCTGCTCATTTCTCAGCTCCACCTCCCTCCTATTCATCAATTACATACACACGACTTTTAGTCACGCATGTTCCTGTTCATTGTGATTCATGCTTTGCCTGTTTCCTTTGGGAACACTAGTCTCTGAGTTTTACTATCAGAATAACAAAAATAAACCCTTTCCTCACCCTCTTCCAGTTTTCCTATATAAGTGACAATGACACGTGGGGCTACGGGAGTTACATGGATAAACATCAAACAGTATTAGAGACCAGTGTGATTACAGACAAAACCAAGTTAAGATAAAAGAAATCAAGGGGAAATCTGCAAAACAAACACTAGAAACAGGCTGGAGGAAGAGAGCAAGGAGACGGTTAGAAGACAGCAAAAGGGCTGGGATTGTGGCGTAGCGGGTAAAGTTGTCACCTGCGATGCTGGCATCCCATATGGGTGCCAGTTTGTGTCCTGGTTGCCCCACTTCCAATCCAGGTCCCCATTAATGTGCCTGGAAAAGCACATTAGTGCTTGAGACTCGAGACGTGGGAGACCGGGGAGAAGCTCCTGGCTCCTGGCTCCAGCCTGGCCCAGTCCTGCCCTGGTCATTGCAGCCATTTGGGGAGTGAACCAATGAATGATCTCTCTCTCTCTCTTTCTCTTCCCCTCCCTCCCTCCCTCCCTGCATCCTTCCCTCCCTGCCCTAACCCTGCCTTTCAAATAAATAAATAAATCTTTAAAAAGAAAAGGAAGAACAACCACAACAGAGACAGCAGCACCAAAAGGCCAACTAGGGCCACAGAGTCAGGAAGCCATGTAAGGGGTGTGGCCACAGGAAACCTTGAAACAGGCAATTCTCACTGAAGAGAGGAATCTTAGTAAACAGAGACTGGGACGAGTCCCCTGACTCCGAAGGCTGGGGCATACATGCCATAATAAGAATGAAGCAGGGAGCAGGAAGGCAGAACACAGGCCTACCCACGTATGACAGTGCTACAGACAGGAGCTCTGGAGAGGAACAGAAGCAGTTCCAGCCTCTGCATAGCAGAAAAGAACTCCGTTTAGTTCAAACCAAGAAACTGGTCACTAGTAACAGTTAAAGCCCTTATTAAGCTTATAAAACAGATTTCAACCACAGTAATGCATAGCCATCTGAAAGCATATATAAATTACTTCCTTCTTGGAGCTCATGACAATGATTCTACAGAAAATATTCAAGTATTTACTGAATGGCCTATAAAAATGAACAAGACATAATCCCCAATATTACTGGAAAAGACAGAAAAGTAAACGAGCAATGACAGGAAGGATTAAAGTTATCAAAGAACTATTGGGAAGGATAATAAATGAGATTTCACACTACAATGTTTAAGTTCCGGTCAAGGCTCTACCGCATGCCATTGGTGTGACCTTGAGTGGACCTCTTAACTCCCTGCAAACGCAGACTTTTCATCTATGAAATAAAGGTAGCATCACCTAACAAACAGGGTAACAACTGATGTAAATAATGTTTGGGGGTGGGGCTGGTGCTGTGGCAGAGCAGGAAAAGCCACCGCCTGCAGTGCCAGCATCCCATATCCATGATTGTTCGAGTCCCGGCTGCTCCACTTCTGATCCAGCTCTCTGTTATGGGAAAGCAGGAGAAGATGGCCCAACTACTTGGGTCCCTGCACATGTGGGAGACCTGGAAGAAGCTCCAGGCTCCTGGCTTTGGATCAGCCCAGCTCCAACCGCTGCAACCATTTAAGGAGTGAATCAGCAGATGGAAGACCTCTCTCTCCACCCCTACCTCTATAACTCTGCCTTTTAAATAAATAAATAAATCTTCAAAAAAATAATGTTGGGGGAGAAAGCCTTGAAAACCACAGAATACTCCATAAATGTAAGCAGTAAGAGCAACAAAATAAACAGCAATAACTGGTGAGAAGTACTTATTCCCTATACCATTAATAATCAGACTTATTTATAGTGACAAAGGTAACTATATTAAATTATGAATTATAGTGTTATGGCCTCTGCATAGGGTCTGTAAGCATGGCACAGGCCATGAGGGCTGAACAAACTGATTTGGAGGATGAAGGCACAGGTGTAGAAGGCTAGAAGCCGAGGGTCACATCACATAAGAGCAGACATTTGGTGGAGCTGTAAAGATACCAACTGGGACTCCCACATCCCATAGAGGAGTGCCCGGGTTAAAGTCCCAGCTAAAGCCCCTGCCTCCAGCTTTCTGTTAATGTTCACGCTGGGAGGAAGCAGGTGATGATGGCTGAAGCAGCTGGGACCCTCATGGGAGATCCAGACTGAGCTCCCAACTTGTGGTGCGGCCTGGTCCACTCCATAGCTGTTGTGGGTATTTGGGGAGTGAACCAATGGATGGAAGTGTGTGTTCTCTCAAATAAATTGTCTTTAAAAAAAATCAAACTAAAAGATAGCATCCTTACATCTTTTTACCTAATCAATCTGACAAAGTGTGATTCAAAATAAATGTTTCTATATATCAGCTACCATAAATCACAGAAAATATACGGTATTTGTCTTTTTGGGTCTGGCTTATTTCACTAAGCATAAGGGTCTCCAGTTGCAACCATTTTGTTGCAAAAGACAGAATTTTCTTTTTTTTTCTAATGTGGCTGAGTAGTATAGAGTACAAAAAAACCTGAATGTATAAGGTTGAAATTGGCATCCTATGATTTGATTATTATTTATAGCCCTTGTCTACATTCTTGTGCAACAGTGGTCTATTTTTTACTTGTTGAACATTATAATATAATATCATTAATATATTATATCCATTCAGCCTATGTGTTTTTTTTTTTTTTTTTTGACAGGCAGAGTGGACAGTGAGAGAGAGAGACAGAGAGAAAGGTCTTCCTTTGCCGTTGGTTCACCCTCCAATGCCCACTGCGGGCGGCACACCACGCTGATCCAAAGCCAGGAGCCAGGTGCTTCTCCTGGTCTCCCATGTGGGTGCAGGGCCCAAGGACTTGGGCCATCCTCCACTGCACTCCCGGGCCACAGCAGAGAGCTGGACTGGAAGAGGGGCAACTGGGACAGAATCCTGTGCCCCAACCGGGACTAGAACCTGATGTGCCAGCGCCGCAGGCGGAGGATTAGCCTATTGAGCCACAGTGCCAGCAAGCCTATGTTTTTTTAAAGACTTATTTATTTGAAAGTCAGAGTTACAGAGAGAGAGAGAGAGAGAGGTCTTCCATCCGCTGGTTCGCTCCCAAGTTGTAAGCCTGTGATTTTAAAGTAAATTCTAAGTACATTATCACAAAAATTAGAAAAAAAAAAAAAAACAGAAAGGAAGGAAGAAGGAGGGAGGGATGGGGCAAGGGAGTACTGTTATGTTTTTATAGCTGTACTATGAAACACATGAAATTTGCCTTCTTTGTATTAAAAAGAAAAAGTTCTGCAAGGTTCTTCAGGGTCATGAATGTGAATACATGCTATGAGAGTTAATGACTGGAAATCTGACTCATCTCATGGGCACTGGATAGGAAAAGGGTTGACAAGCACTGCAACGTATTACCTATATCTGGGCCTTCCACATCATCCTCTCCATCTTCTTGTTTTTCCTCTATGTGCACATTGTTTTCCACGTGTGATATTATTGAGTCAACATCATGTAACACTAAAAATTCCACGGGTACTCCCTAGAAATATGTTACATTTTTAATGACTAAAATAGAGCATTTTAATAGAAAAATATTTGAATTGACACTAAAATGAAAATAAATCTATGAACTTCAATTTCAAAATTAAACTGAAAAGGAAATTCATTCACAATTGCTATTTAAACAAAAGCACCCAAAGCATCCTTTATATAACGATAGTTCAAACTACTGAAAAAGATGGCTTTAAAAAAGTCTCATGTGGTTCTTGTCACAATTGCAATATACTATGATCTATGAAACATTTTACAGCAAGACATATCTCAAAATAATGGCATTTTATAATGGAGAAAATTAGTTTTCTGTGCCCTAAGTCAACAATCAAATGTGGTATCATTAAGTAAAGAAAATAGACATCATGGGGCTGGTGTGGTGGCATAATGAGTTAAGCCACCACCTGTGACACCAACATCAAATATAGTCACCAGTTCTTCTCCAAGTTGCTCCACTGCAAATCCAGCTCCCTGCTAATGGCCCAAGTGCTTGGGCTCCTGCACCCACATGGGAGACTTGGATGAAGCTCCTGTGTCCTGGTTTCAGCCTAGCCCAGGTCCAGCTGTTGGGGGACATTTGGGGAGTGAACCAGTGGATGAAAGATTCTGTCTCTTTCCCTAATTCTCCCTCTCTCTCTAACTCTGCCTTTCAAATAAATCTTAAAAAAAAAAAAAAGACACCATGCACACTTTCAGACAATATATCATGTTTAAAATCCAGCTCTATCAACTATTCTTACCTAAAACATTTAATGGAACTAATGATGCCATATCTAGCTTCTTGTTTATAGAAAATACAAGGGGACAGAAACAAGATAGACCAAAACAAAAGGAGACGAATGCAGAATATGGAAAACCAACCTAATTTATACAAAAAGTCATTGTCAGAGGACAGAAAGGGGGGCTTTAAGATACTAGATCTTAAATTCCACTGGTATTTCCTAGACAAATGTTAATTTTTAATGACTAAAATAGAGCAAAGCATTTTTTTTTGACAGGCAGAGTTAGACAGTGAGAGAGAGAGACAGAGAGAAAGGTCTTCCTTTTTCTGTTGGTTCACCCCCCCAAATGGCCACTGCGGCCGGCATGCTGTGCCGATCCAAAGCCAGGAGCCAGGTGCTTCCTCCTGGTCTCCCATGTGGGTGCAGGGCCCAAGCACTTGGGCCACCCTCCACTGCCTTCCCAGGCCACAGCAGAGAGCTGGACTGGAAGAGGGGCAACCGGGACAGAATCCGGTACCCCAACCAGGACTAGAACCTGGGGTGCCGGCGCCGCAGGCAGAGGATTAGCCAAGTGAGCCGCGGCGCCGGCTGAGCAAAACATTTTAATATAAAGATATTTTAGTTGACACAAAAATAAAGCTAAACTTTGGGACTTCAATTTTAAAGTTAAACAAAACAAGGAAATTAACAATTATTCTGTGAATGGATTTAAGACACCTATCACATGCAATTCATAATCCCAAACACCATCCAAAGAAAATAATTTTAGGATGAGAAAATCTGAATATAGACTGGCTTGGAGATTAGGCTATGACATTAAAAAATATTTGTTAAGTATTTTATGATATAGATATGTTTATCTAGATTGGATATTACATATATATTAAAACATCATAAGGTATCTCACAAATATGTGCTATTTTTATGTTAAACTTTTTTTTAAATTTATGTTTAAGTATGGGAATGAGGTTATGATTATATTCAGGAAAAGTAACAAAGTTTTCAGACATTCACATTAAATACTGATGGTGAGAATGTCTTGTCATGACATCTGTAACATTCCTTGAAACATTAAAAAAAAAATTGTAGGGTCCGCACTGTGCCATAGGAGGTTAAGCCTCCACCTATGGCGCCTGCTTCCCATATGGGCACCAGTTCGAGTCCCGGCTGCTTCACTTCTGATCCAGCTCCCTGCTAACGCACCTGGGAAAGTAGCAGAGGGTGGCCTAAGTGCTTGGGCCCCTGTACCCACGTGGGAGACCTAGAAGAAGCTCCTGGCTCTGGCTTCAGATCAGCCCAGCTCAGGCCATTGGGGCCATATACGGAGTGAACCAGCAGATGGAAGACCTCTCTCTGTCCCTCTCTCTATCTGTAACTCTGCTTCTCAAATAAATAAATCTTTTTTGAAAAATATAGTAAATGAAGCAAATATTACAAAATGTTAATTAATGGCTACATATCTATTCATTCCATTTTTCATTCTACTTTTTGGTATTTTTCTTTTCATAATGAAAGGTTTAAGAAAGGAATAAAAAGGACTTAAAAAAAAAAACCCACTCCCCTTGACAGGCCTCTGAACTACATTCTCTCCTTCTAGAACCCCCTACACCAGGCTTACTGACACTTTTCAGTGACTTCAATTCAGTTTTCTCCATGGCCCTGTATGACATGTCACTGTATGACAGTCTAACTACACTTTTTCTCTCTCTTGACACTGAAATATCAGCTCCCTGAAGGCAACCACTTGTTTGGTCCATGGCTGTCTTCTCAGAGTCTAGCACTGTACTTGAAACAAAGTAGGAACATAATGAGTATTTACTGAATGAACTTGGCTCACATTTATTAATACTTAATGCTACTTGGCCCGTTTGCCAGATAGGCATTTAACATTAATTCATTTAATTTGCTCATTCAACACTTTTAAGTAGTTATTATCTCAACTTCATAATGGAAAAAAATGGAGACAGAAGTAATGTATTTAGTTATAAAATTAGATTAGAACCAGACAGTATGATTCTAATGCATAAAGTTTTCACACTATATTGCTGATCATGGACATGAAGGAAAAAAATATCTGAGGTACCCATAAAATGCTGAGAAATGTTTTACACCTCTTTCAACACATTATAAAGCTTGTAAAGTAGTAACAGGTGTGTATGAGAGGTCTGTACAAAGTTCATGGAAAATTATGAAAAAACTATGAATGGATTTTAAAAGTCTCTGTAGCAAAGTAATCCTTCAATTCCATTTTCCAGGATCACTGTGAAGTACCTTCATAAAATCCTATCTGTGTAAAAAGTACCGCTATGTAAGGACCCTCCAACCCATCGTCAGGAGAGGAAGTAGAAATGAACATGGAAGGGACAACCACATAACCTCGGGATTGACATTACTGCCCCATGAGCAGGTTAAAAAAAAAAGTACACTGTATTAAAGGAATTTATAGAAGAGTTCATTCTACACAGAACACCTCTTCACAGGGGTAACAATCTAACAGGCAAGCTATCTTACCGCATATTATGCAAAATTTACTTATTTATTTGAAAGGCAGAGTGACAGAGATTTCCATCTGCTGGTTCACTTCGCAAATGGACACAACAGACAGGGCTGGGCCAGGCAGAAGCCAGGAGGCAGGAGCTCCATCTGGGTCTCAACATAGATGGCAAGGGCTCAAGCAGTTGGGTCATCATCTGCTGCCATCCAGGCACACTAGCAGGAAACTGGATTGGCAGCTGAGTAGCCAAGACTTGAACCAGCACTCTGACACTGGATGCCGGCATCACGACATGGCCCTCAAAATTGTTTTCAATATATTTTAACAGTTTAAGACATCAAAATGGACAACCAGCATGAACTTTATTTCTTCAATTAAACCTATTTCACACTAACAAGTACTGTTATTTCTTACTTAAGATTCTTTATCTGCTATCAAAAAATGGCTTTGTAAGAATCTACACTGACTCTTCCTAATATGTGACCATGCTTGCCCCATACTATCAATTATTTCAATCACAATATGGCTTACAAAGTATCTGATCATTTGGTCTCATAAAATTTCTTCTAAATCAAAAGGGGAGGTTTTATAACTATTTCACAAATGAGAAAATTGAGCCTTGGAGAAGGTATTTCATTCATCTGCTCTAAGAACTAGAAACAAACAGAATCCAAGTTTTCTAACCATTAACCCAATATTCCTATAGTAGATTTAGACTTAGGCAAGAGTGTTTAGTCTGACAGTTACTAAACATATCAACCAACTTTTTAGTACATTTATATAGTATTTATAAGACTTTAAAAAAGAAAAAAAAAGTTGAGAAGAAAAGGACATTAACAAACATACAAAGGAAATAAAAACAGCCAACAAACATTTTTAAAAAGTTCAACTTTACTAGCAATCAGACATGCAAATTGAAGCAGGAGCTTTTTTGTCCATAGGAAAAAATATTTATAAGACAGTCGTGTGGGGCCGTTGTGCCACAGTGGATAAAGCTGTCAACTGCAGTGACGCCATCCCATCTACTTCTGATCCAGCTCCCTGCTAACATGCCAGGGAAAGCAGCAGAAGATGGCCCAAGAGTTTGGGCCCCTGCACCCACGTGGGAAACCCAGAAGAAGCTCCTGGCGCCTGGCTTCAGTATGGCCCAGTCTCAGTCATTTGCAGAGTGAACCAGCAGATGGAAGATTCTCATTTTCATTCTCATTCTTTCTCTCTCTCTCCCCTTGCCCAACTCTGCCCTTCATATAAATAAATAAATCTTTTTAAATGACAGCAATGCTCAGTATTGGCAAAGAAATATAAGAAACAAGGAAATTCCAAATACTGATGGTAAAAATAAACCTTTTTGGAGGGCAATTTGACAATCTATTTTAAATATCATAAAAGTTTCCTCTTCCTTTGACAAAGTTCACTTCCAGAAATTTTGACAAAGGGAAAAATCAGTGATGTTCAAAATAATTTACAAAAGTAAGCATTATATAACAAAAGCAAATGATTAAATATGATTTCTGGGAAAAACTAGGATATATGATCGGATCTTAATTTTCTTTAAAATGCATGTGGGGGGTGGGGGGGGTGCACCAGTATATATACTTCTGTACATACATGAAAAGAGCTTCAAAGGGTTTCTGGAAAACTGAATTCAAAGGTAACCTAAATTTCTATGAACTTTTTAAAGATCTTTGAAATCTCTTACAGGAACAGGGGAAAAGAGAAGGATTAGTCAGTCTTCTTTTCCCTCTTTTTTTTTTTTTTTTTTTGTACCTCTCAAGGACAAGTATTTGAGAGTCCCTAAATAGTAATATCAGAGGCCTGGCACTGCCGCGTAGCAGGTTAAGCCACCATATATGATGCCAAAAAGCCTTATGAGTGCAAGTTCAAGTTCTGACTGCTCTGCTTTCAATCCAGCTGCCTGCTAATACATCTGGGAAAGCAGCAGCAGATGGCCCAGGTACGTGGACCCCTGCAACCCACACGGGAGAAAGATAGAGTTCCTGCCTTTTGCTTTCAGCCTGGCCCAGTTCTGTCCATTGAAGCCATCTGGGGTGTGAACCAGTGGATGGAAGAGCTTCTCTCTCTCTCTCTCTCTCTCTCTCTGTGTGTGTGTGTGTGTGTGTGTGTCACTCTGACTTTCAAATAAATTTTAAAAAATCTTAAAACAAGAAGTAATACTAGTTGCACACACAGCACTAAATACTTCTATTACTATATTACAAAGCTTTTAATGTATACAAAGAGTTGTAAAACATTTCCACTAGCATGAAAAAAAAATTTAAATGCTAACAGCAACTATTTTTTTTAAAGATTTTTTTTTTTATTTATTTGACAGGTAGAGTTACAGACAGTGAGAGGGAGAGACAGAGAGAAAGGTCTTCTTTCCATTGGTTCACTCCCCAAATGGCCGCCACGGCCAGAGTTATGCCGATCCGAAGCGAGGAGCCAGGAGCCTCCTCCTGATCTACCATGCGGGTGCAGGGGCCCAAGCACTTGGGCCATCCTCCACTGTTTTCCCGGGCTGGAAAGAGGAGCAACCGGGACTAGAACTGGCGCCCATATGGGATGCCAGCGCTGCAGGTGGAGGATTAACCTAGTGCGCCACAGCACAGCCCCAACAGCAACTATATTTTTAAAAATATTTACTTGAAAGAGTGACAGAGAGCAATGGAGAGGCAAAATGAAGGAGGAAAAGGAGAGGGGAGGGAGACAGAAACAGGCATCAATCTTCTATCCACTTGCTCATTCCCCGAGGTATACAATAACCAGGCCTGGGCCAGGCTGAAGCCAACTTGGTCCAACCTGGTCCCCAACATGGGTGGCAGGGGCCCAATGCTTAGGCCATCTTCCACTGCCTTCCCAGGTGTTTTAGTAGGAAGTTGGACCAACAGTGAATAGCAGGCACTTGAGTAAGCACTCTGATACGGGATGCTGGTGTCCCAAGTGTTAGCTTTACCTACTGCACCAAACACTGGCCCCAGCAATGATCTCTGAATACCACCAATTTATAGATTTTTTCTATAATAAACATATATTACTTCAGAACCATGTGCATTAATTTTGTTTAAACAGGCAGACTTTGTAGATCAACACAAAAACAACTAACCTTTTCTGCTCTTTTGAAGACCACATTAGCATGTTGAGGAATGTTCGCTTCCAGAGAGTCTCTTTTTCAAAACAGAAATAAACAGTTTATGTTGCTAATATGAAGAATAATAAGTATGCAGGATGTCCATGTAAAGTAGTAAGCTTTTATACTAAAAGGTACTTATGGAAAAGATCAACATTTAGTGAGTTTGAGGAATTTTACATATAAATACAAACTAGATTTTCTAGTCTCCCTCTTAATCTATATCTTCATATAGCAAAGAAGGTTTAAATTTTGATTTTCATCAACTTCACATCAATATGCAGACTTCAGCTCAGCACTCGGTTCCAACTCTGTTGGAATCTATTAGAGATTTTGTTTATAAGGGATTAGATTATCAAATTTAAAAATGAGAAGAATATTAGTGTTTTGCTAGAGATAGTGAATATTTAAGATACCTTAACAAGAGTAGAACTCCTGCTTTTCCCAGAAGACGCCAAGCCACCCATTCTGCAGTTCTTTTATCAGCTTCATATGTAGCTTGTTGGCTAACAATGAAAACCAGTGGCAGGCCTAGTTGGAAATGAACTGTTGAAACATGTTGAGGATCTTCAGCCACTTCTGTCTTCATTAAATAGAAAGAACAAAGTTTTCAATGTGTGACAATAATGCTGCAACATTTGGATTTAACCCCCTTAATTCTTAGAAAGTTACAAATAAAAAGCAAGTCTGTGAAATAAGTCCAGCTTTAACAAAAATCATCTCATAATTTCCTAAATTTAGTGCTTCCAATACACCTGTGAATGAGTAGTTTAAACACTGGAAACACAAAACAGTAAAACATAAAACTACAATCATAAGAAATATACATATTATAAGGGCAAATCAATAAAGCAGTGTGGTACAAATAGAAATAAAATATTACAAAGAGAATAGATAACTAAAGACTAAATCCTTTCATTTGAGAATTTAACATATAGGTAAGTGGCACATTACAAAACAACAAGGATTATCTGAGTTAAAACAGCAGATTAAACTTTAAAAAAATCTAATTTATTTCACTCCATTCAGAAATCTGAGGAAAACTACAGGAGTGGGATTTAAAAAAAAAGACATAAACACACATATATGAAGAAAATAAAAGAGGAAAGGCAGTCCATTTTTAGAAGCTGGAAAAAAAAAGAGTAATATCTGATTTAAAAGATTCTACAAAGCAAAACCAAGGGAAAGCTAAGAAACACACTAATCTTAACTTCTGAATTCTAAAATTGCTTACTAACAGTCAACATCTGATATATCTGGAACTGGAAAATGACAGGAAGATCTAAAATAAGAAAGATTAAGTCAAAGCTCTTAAGAACTTTGTGGACCCCTAGACATTCCCTCCTGAATTCCACGAGTTCAGGCAACTGCGCCCCCAACACCAGCAGGAGTGTGGAAGACCTCGGGAACAGCTGAGAATGGGGACGCCACACCAACAGCAGGGGAAGAGAGCGGTAACTGAACGTTGACACACACTCTCCGGGCCCTTCCTCCTCAGTGCCAGGGAGCAGCCAAGCCTCTGCCCTCATGCAGGAAGCTGGAAGATGCTTTTTGAGGATCCTGAATGTCCCCCAAAGCCGAAAGATATTGACAATGGGGTACACCAGAAAGCAACCCAGACCTATGGAGCTGAGTCAACAAGTCCCACCAACAATCTCAGAATCTCCAATGAACTTTTTGATTTCAAATTCCAAACCACAGGGCCGGCGCTGTGGCGTAGTAGACTAAATATCCACCTGTGCCACCAGCATCTCATATGGGTTACAGTTCATGCTGGCTGTTCTTCCTATCCAGCTCTCTACTAAAGGCCTGAGAAAGCAGCAGAAGATGGTCTGAGTGCTTGGGCCCCTGCACCTGCATGGGAGACCTGGAAGAAGCTCCTGGCTCCTGGCTTCAGATCAATGTGGCCATTTGCGTGCGTGTATGTGTGTGTGTGTGTGTGTGTGTATCTCTCCCTCTCCCTCTCTCTAACTCTGCCTTTCAAATTTTAAAAAATCAAAATTCTAAATCATGAACAGGAAAGCAAGGACTAACAAACGTCCCAGAAAGCCCTTGAACACAAAATACAAAGATACAAACAAGTGGAAAAACAGGTAACTTGGAAGAAACAGATATTGCAAGAACAAAGTTTCAGGAACCCCCGCTGACAGCCTCAAGGAGACAGGAAATCACTGCATTCACAAACAATGGAAAAGCAAAGCTGAACAAATCTCCCAGAAAGCAGAACACAGACAGACAGAAGGCAGGAGAGAAAACGTAGTAACACTGAAGTTTAGTTCAAGAAATCCAAGAGATTCAAGCAACAGGAATCACAGAAAGCAGCAAGGGAATAAATAGAAGAGAGGGAGAAACCATCATTGAAGTAAACTTTAAAAGGGGGTGGGGGTACAGCACTGTGGCATAGCTGGTAAAGCCACCGCCTGCAGTGCCAGCATCCCATATGGGCACTGATTCGAGTCCTGACTGCTCCACTTCCGATCCAGTTCTCTGCTAATGATCTGAGAAAGCAGTGGAAGATGGCCCAAGTCCTTGGGCCCTTGCACCCATGTGGGAGACCTGAAAGAAGCTCCTGGCTCCTGGTTCCTGGCTTCAGATTGAGCAGCTCCGGCCGTTGCACCTAATTGGGAGTGAACCAGTGGATGGAAGACCTCCCTCTCCCTCTCTCCCTCCCTCCCTCCCTCTCTCTTTCTCTCTCTCTCTCTCTCTGCCTCCACTCCTTCTCTAACTCTGACTTTCAAATAAGTAAATAAATCTTCAAAAATAAAAAAAAGTAAGCACAAATTTTCCCACGACTGATGTGCATGAGTTGCCAGACTAAAAGAACACACTGAGCAAACCAGCCCAGTGGATAAAAGCCTACACACAGGAAAAAGCATTCTTGAAAAGTTCCCTATTACAGATTTAAAAAAAAAATCCCAACAGTTTCCAGAGAGAATCCTATACTTACCTATGGTAGGCAGAATTCTAAGAGGGCTCCTAAGATTCCTGCACCCTAGAGAACAAGTCTAGAACAATCGCCTACCTCTGTGTGTGCATTGAACCGAATGGATGGCCATTCCCTTACTTAGATAATACTACTTATGAGTCTGCTGCAGTAGCAGGCATGTGGCATGGAAGTTAAGTCACCTCTTTGATGCCCACATGCTGTATCAGAGTGCCTGCTACAAGTCCTGAGTGCTCCTGCTAAGGTGAACCCGAGAGACAGCAGGTGGTGGCTCGAGACCTTTGGGCCCTGCCATGCACATGGGAGACCCAGAGGGAGTTCCTGGCTCCTGGCTTTGGCCTGGCAAAGCCCTGACAGTTGCAGGCATTTGGGCGGTGAATCAGCAGATGGAAGATCACCTTCTATTTGCCTCTTTGTCTGTGTCTTCGTTTCAAATGAAATAAAAATGAAAACATCAATAATTTTTTTTTAAAAAAAGAGGCTGTCTGTGGGGAGCAACCCGGACTAGACTGTTACTGGAATTAAGACTTATTCTATGCATCTGCTCTCCCACAATATGGCGCTGGGAGAGAAGAAAACAGCTTCTACACAGCTGCCTCCAGTTCAGCCAATAAACTGTAGGACTTGCTCCTGATTGGAGGAGAGCAGCGTACTCGGCGTGTGGGCAGCCGAGTTGGGATTGGCGGAGGAGGACTATAAAGGAGGAGAGAGACGGCATGCACCAGGAACATCTAGGGGGAACATCTAAGGGGAACACCTGTGCAGCCCCCGAGAGAGCCGGCCGGCGGTGTGCCGCTCCCCTGCGGAAGTGGGGAATGTGGCCGGGGGGAACTGCCCTTCCACGGAGGTGGAAGGGATAGTAGCCAACCCGGGAAGAACCAGCAGCAAACCCGGGGAGGGCCGAGCAGACGAAAGAACAGCGCAGGGTCCTGTGTCGTTCCTCCACGAAGAGGGGGAGCGACAGCTGTCATAGCACATTGAGGTAAGACTGTCCTGCTGGCCTTAAAGGAGGACACTGCTATATTATAAAAGGGCCATGCAGTCAAGGGCCTTGAGAACAGCCTATGGGAACTGAGCACAAACCCTCACCAATAGCTGGCAAGAAAAAGGGGACCTGAGTCCTGCAACCTACGCTTCTGAATTCCGCCACAACCAAAACACAGATGAAGCAGTGGGAAAGTCCAGTCTCCCCTTTGTGTATGTGGAGAGCTCTAAGTCATTTAGTAGTATTAAGGACAGAGGAGGAGCAAAGCAATAAGACTGGAGCTCTAACAAGGAGCCAGATCACTAAAAACTATGTGTATAGTGCTACAAAAATAGGGCTTCCATTGCGTCAAGTGAAGCCATTTATACAAACTCACATGTAAAATACACTCCTCTCTCCCAGACTCCCCAAGCCTATCCCATCAGACCTTAAGATCAGTGCAAAGTCTAAGAGGTCATCTATGTGCAGTCGCACATGCAGTGTGGTCCCGTGGGTATAGCTCCTTGAGCACTATTGCTCCCAATCTGAGGACCTGAGAACTAAAGAGACGAATTGCTAGGCCCCAGTCACAGATAATGCAGGACGGGGCAGAGGACAACCACCCCACGCTCTGCTGTGTGGAGTAGCGGAGTGGGAATGAAGACACACACCGGTCTGGTGCACAGCAGTTCTGAGGCCTATCCAGGCACACGCTGCTAGCTCCATGGTGAGCACTGAAACCGACTTCCTCAGGGTTATTCTCTGAAGGGTCTTGGCTATAAACCCTGGGAGCTCTGGTCTGCCCTTCAACTCACCCTTCCTTTTTTATTAAGAGAAAAAGAGACAGCATTTGTAGTTCATCAAATTTTTCAGCCTTTTCCTGAACACAGAAATCTAGGGGTCTGAAGTCTTCCTATTGTGCTATTCTTGTACTTTTATAGATAAGCTGGTATAATTCTTTTAGGACCTTGTAGATTTTTTTTCATTAAAAATTTATAATTCATCCCATTAGATAAAAACCAAAATTACAAATGTCTTTGGTAAATACAGAAAGTGATAGCACAGTATCATAAAAAATTACAACAAAATAAAATACATAAAGTAAACTGAAATTTGAATAACAAAATATACAAAAGTGACAGGAACATTTTTACACTGGGGGTGGGATTACTGATAGTTTCTAAAATCATGCATTACTATCAAATTACTGAAATTACTTTAAAAATTAACTTTCTTTTTAAATTTTTATTAACATAAAGAGAACAGATTTCATGTATTTCATAAGTAAAATTCTAGGAAGATAATATTTCCCTAAAAATAAAAAAGATTACAAGGGACTATTATGAACAAATATATGCAATTGGAAATCCTAGAAGAAACAGAACATACATACAACCCACCTAGATTGAATCATGAAGAAACAGAAAATCTAAACAGATCTGTAACTAGCAAGGAGATTAAACCAGTCATCAAAAACCTCCATCCAAGAACCCAGGACAAGGACAAGAGTTCAGCACAGCGAGTAAGATGCCTCTCGGAACATCTGCATCCCATTTCAGAGAGCCTGGGTTCAAGTTCCAGACGCCAGTGTGCACCCTGGAGGCAACCAGTAATGGTTCAAGTAGTTGGGTAGCTGCCTCCTATGTAGAAGACCTGCTTTGCATTTTTAGCTCCTGGCTTCAGCCTGACCAAGCCCTACCTGTTGTGGGCATTTGGGGAGTGAACCAGTGATGGGAGATCTCTGTCTCTGTGTCTGCCCTTCAAATTTGTAAAAAAAAAAAAAAAAAAAAAAGTTCCATAATCCCACTGGCTTCATATCAATCTCAGTTTTTCCTATTAAATTCAAATAGATTAAATAGAATACTTCATATTCTAAAGTTTGTAACATATACAATATGGTATGTCCATGAATCCATTCAGCCCTCTGTCTCTATGTAATTATTATGGATGTGGAATGACTGGTATGTTGACCATTTAACAGTTAATTTCTGAATGATGAGATTAGGTGACTTTAAAAAAAAAATTATAGAGTTTACTGCAGTATTTGTGCTACTGGTGACAAACAAGTACCATTTTTATTTTTAGATGCACCCCACGGGAGACCAGGATAAGTACCTGGCTCCTGCCATCGGATCAGCGCGGTACGCCGGCCGCAGAGCGCTGGCCACGGCGGCCATTGGAGGGTGAACCAATGGCAAAGGAAGACCTTTCTCTCTGTCTCTCTCTCTCTCACTGTCCACTCTGCCTGTCAAAAAATAAAAAATAAATAAATAAAAAAAGAAAAAGATACACTGACTGAGAACATCTACTGAAGGTTTACATATGCTTAAGATCCTTCAACCTCCCAAAGAGAAAAGTCAGCTATCACCATCACCTAGTAGGTCTCTATAAAATTCTTATAGGTTAATGCTAAGGAAAGTGAGGCACCAAAAATCCCATGGTTCCAATACTTTACCAACTCTTGAAATGACAATCAAAACAATGAAATAACTATGAAATAGTCTTTGTGATGTGTGAGCAATCACCAAGAACCAGAGTTCATTTATCTACAATGCTATGTATAAACGGGTTTCAGTGCAATAATAAAAAAAGGCATTAGAATGCTGTTTCACAAATAGTTTATCTTCTATTCTACTTTCAACAAGGACATACTCCTAAATCATACAAAATGAAAGAAATACACCCAGGGAAAAGGGAAGAGATATACTCATCTAAATAAAATGCATATCTGTGAATTAAAACAACACATTTTATGCAAAAATTTTCTATATATTAAATTAAAACACATACCAACAAAGGTGCATTCATGGTCTTAATAAACAGGTCAATGTTCAGTGTAGTCAACGGCTGTTCCATTAGTATTCTTCTACATTCCTGAGTCAAATCCAAGACTGGCTTACAATGAAAAAAATAGAGATGTGCATATTCTATTTCCTCAGAGCTGCAAATTAAAAATTAGGGACATATTCATTTAATGAAGCTCAATGTGCAACCCTTTTACCATTCAAAAAGGTTGAGTTAATGTTTTAGTGAAAGCCTAAAATAATATAATGTAAAAATAAGATAATAAAAATAGACTTGGGCAAAAAAAATGACCAAGGGCATTAAAGAAAATATTTCAACAAATCATGTGAGTTGTATAAGGCATTTTTGTCCTGAATTCTTTCATATGGCAGCTTCTAAATTGGGCTATAGGCAGGCCTACACAACTTTGTTTCAATAAAAGGCTGTCACCTTGTGGACAGTGAGATTATCTTCTAGTTGCTTTTCTAGAGCTATGTTAAATGAAGCTTTGTAACACAAATCTTTTAGATTTAATTTAAATGCAAAGCTGTTTTGAATAAACTTTAGCAAAAAATATGACTTAAGATAGAAACCATGTGACAGTTTGTGGGAGTTTGGGAGTTTGTATCTGAAATATTACAAAACTCAGCAAGTATCTATTTCAAGTTTTGGATTCTCTTCAACATGAGATTTCAAAGATAAACTTATAGTGGGGGTAAGGTTTGCCAAAATTAAAATAGCAATTTGAAAATGTCCAGATGGCATTAGTACGGTTTGGCCAAATAGCATAAAAACTTATTTTTAAAATGTTATTTTAATTCTTGAGACATGATTAAACTGTGTGTTCAGGATTCACTGATTTCAAATTTAATTAAAGTAATTATAATAGATTTGATGATTGAAAAAATTATTTAATTCCTACTACACTTTAGGCCCTGCACGCAAAATAACAGATGAAGATGAACGAGATAATTCAAATTCTTAAAGGACTTATTTATTAAATGTAGTTTGCATATGTTATAATACACAAAACCCTATGGGAAACAAAAAATATTTCACTCTGCCCCAAGTGAGAAGGATTGGGAAGGGAAAGCAAAAGGAGGCTGTCACAGAGCTTACACCAACAGGGTGAACAGGAAGCCAGGACAGAAGTCAAACTAAAGGAACAATACAGCTAAGCACAAAGGGCACGTCCAACTCTTTGAGGGGACCCTGAACACTCACGAAGCACTGCAAGGACAGTGTGGAGCACAGGAAGTCCTGGTTACAGCTGGACTTCACATCAAAACCTTTACACTAAGAAAACAATGTTGGAAAGTAATTTATTCAGGGGCCATACCCTTGCAGGGAGCAGAAACCCAAAAAAAGATGGGAGAAACTTATCAGAAGTTTAGAAGGGTATACAAGGGCCATTCAAATAACTGGATCAACAGTATCATCCCATTCTCCACATCCAATTCCAAGTTCCTAAGAGACAGGGTGATCTCTTTGCTCAGGTAAGTCACCGTCCAGTACTCCCTCTGACTTAACTGACTGTGATATGTGTGAGGCACGGGCATAAACACATGGTTTAAGAAGGGAAGACAGGGAGGCAGGAGAAAGCACTGGTGTCTCCATGGAATGCTACCTTCAGAGTCACAGCCCCTCCCTATCATATCTGCTCCAGTATGATTCCTGCCCATCTTATTATCCAGGAATCAACAATAATTAATAAAATCTCCAGGGGCTACTGCTGTGGTGTACAGGTAAAGCCACTGTTTTGCGGTGCTGGCATCCCTTATGGGCACAGGTTCAAGTCCCGGCTGCTCCACTTCTGATCCAGCTCTCTGCTATGGCCTGAGAAAGCAGAAGAAGGTAACCCAAGTCCTTGAGCCCCTGTACCCATGTGGGAGCCCTGGAAGAAGCTCTAGGCTCCTGGCTTTGGATCAGCCCAGATCAAGCCCTCTAGCCATTTGGGGGAGTGAACCAGCAGATAGAAGACCTCTCTCACTCTCTCTCTACCTCTGATTCTGTCTCTCCATAACTCTGCCTTTCAAATAAATAAATAAATCTTAAAAAAACTCCAATAAATACTCAAAAGCAAGTTTAAAAATGTGGTAAGTGCATATTTTTAATTTACATTTTAAGGGAAAAGCAAAAAAAATTTCCAAAATAATACTGTAGTTTAGTCTGTATCAGAACATATATATTTACATATGTTAGAATATATAAATACCAGAATATGTGTATATATAGGTATATACATTATATCTTACTGAATAGGATTTGTAAGGCAAGTAATAGAAACTATACCTTGCCAGTATTTAATCACTTCCTTGCATTTTAAGCATGTCACCATTATTTACAATTACTCATCACCTGAAAAATACAGAAGCTGGTAACACAAAACACAAACAACTGATTTTCAGAGAAGCTGTGGAGCTAGCACGGAGTCACCACTGGATGGGAACAATGAGGTTTCCCCATGTCCAGGATGGGAAATTGGTAGTCTACAATGGGAGTAGCAAAGGAGCCAGCTAAACAACTGCTTCTTTTATCTTCTGACGCAATGACTATTCAGGGTGAGCTTTACCATACGACCAGCATAATTCTCTTACAAATAGTAAGCATGCATTAGTTTTATTTAACTCATTAATCAGACAACCAGCAGAATGAAAATTCAGGAAGGAGAGACTAATGGAAAAAGAACAGCTGGTTAATGTCATGCAGAGCAATAAAAACGTACCTTCCTGCGTACGAACTTTCTTCTCTGCCTAGTCCCCTCCCTTCAAAACTCACTTCACCTCATTAGTTTTCTAAGTACTAGTCGCTAAATTTGCAGAGCTTTAACACGTCAGACCTTTAAACCATCACATAGTATCTGTAATAGTTACACTTTTCTGAGAAGTCAGCAGGACGGCTCACTGAAAGCTCTTGTCTGGCATTTAAAAGTCATAAAATCACCATTTTGCCTTGGATTAATTTTCCAGAAGACCATTTAAAGTCAAACTCTAGTCTTTTAAAATGCACCGATTATTCCTTGTGTTGTTAAGTACTAAAGAAAGGAAAATTTGAATCCTAAATTGCCCAATCAGTGAAAAGTAGGCCTCTACTTAGAATGGTAATTTAGAAACCAGACAAAAATAAAAACTGAAATATTGTGTTCAATACTCATACCTCAGTACCTTTTGGATTACTATGGCCAAGTAACTTGGTAACTCTCAGAGAATCTGGGGAGCTGTGATTTCACCCACATCTGATCACGTGGGATACCTGTCCCCAGAACATCTCACTTGGCATTGTGGAACACGTCCTGCAGTCAGCCGCACTGTCTCCTTTCATCTTAGTCTAGCATCGCTTCTCTATGTTTTCAGACTATGGTAGGGCAGAGGATGATAACGAAGGGCCTGCCAGGTTTCTTTCACAGGTTCACATCCACCCGTAACTCCTTCAGATAAGCCTATGCTGTCAGAATATAATGGAAATGTAGACGAAGGAATACAAAATAAGTGAACAAAAAGCTTAAAACTGGTGGCAAATGCTTCTTATACATACCCAATACTTTCCAAAAGGGCAATTTCTGTGGTTAAGACAAACTGGCATGTGGTCCCATACACAAAAGCAGCTTCCATCACTGCTCTGTGCTCTGGAGAAGAGATGAGGGAGTGGGGAGAGAGGAGGAGTTAGTTTGTATGACTACGTAAACTTCTCTTCTGAATAGACATTGTTTATGTTCTGCTATATTTAAACAAAAATCCTTTGCAGGGATCCCAGCTGGGAAAGTGCAAGCAGCTAAAGAAGTTGTATTTTAAAAAGTCTATTCAAGGTAAAGGAATTGAGAAAATAAGTTACACATGAGAATGTAGCATACAACAAATCTGTGGCAGTTTCTTCCTAGTAGTAGGAAAGAGACTATGACTCTGCCATACACTGACATATGTACATGTCTGTGTATACTGTTTCTGGATTATTTTTGATCAAACTTACTAAACAAATAGTTCTATTAAGTACATTAAGAAAACAGCCATTCCCCTAACCCCTGTTCCATTTCCAATTCCCAAGGGAAAACTACTTTCAACTGTTTCACTCTTTCTTTCGGATACCTCCAAGTACACAAAGACATTCTTGTTTCCTGGGGTTGGGCCAGGCTGAATCCAGGATCCAGAAATTCATCTGGGTCCCCTACATGGGCACAGAGGCCCAAGTAGTTGGGCCATCTTCCATTGTTTCCCCAGGTGCATTAGCAAGAAGCTAGATTAGAAGTGGAGCAGCTGAGACTTGAACTGGCGCTCATATGGGATGCTGGCATTGCAGGTGGTAGCTTGACAAGTTACGCACAGTGCCAGCCCCATTTTTTTAAGAATTCTTTTTTTTTTTTTTGAAAGATTGAGACAGACACAGAGAGAGGGAAAAAGCTCCTATCCACGTGTTCATTCCCCAAATGCCTACAACATCTAGAGCTGGGCACCTTCAGAGCCAGGAGCCAGAAACTCTACCACGGTATTCCATATGGTTGGCAGGAACCCAATTACTTGAGCCATCACCTTAGCTGGAATCAGGAAATAATGTCGGAGATAGAATCCAGTTGCTCTGATGTGAGACACGGGCATCCTAATCAGAGTCACCCTCTAGGCCAATACCTGCCTGCTGTTCTGATTATGGATCCTTCCATTGCAAACTTTTTTTTCTGTGTGGAAGATTTTAAAATAGTATTTTTTTTTTCAGATACTCTGTAATTTCAAAACAGAAATGCCTTGTTATAGAATCCACTACACTGTCGTCACCCACTACACTGGGGCTCAACGGGCCTTTTCTGCTGGGGGAGTTTACAAACTTTAGTTTCACGAAATCTTCTTGAAGTATTTCTTCAATGAGTCCCTCCTTTTTGTAGCTGATTTTCCCTTTCCCCCCTCATCACACTTCCAGAACTTATCTTCCCTTCCCCTCCTGCATCTCCCAGGATGGAAATCACATATCAGATCCACTCATATATGCCCCAACCAGGAGCACTCCAGCTCATTCCACAAAGAACTCACCTCCAATCATGCTGTCACTCTCGCCAACAGTACCTCCTAACATAATCCTTGGTGATTTCATTATTTACACAGATGATTCCTTCAAAACCCTAGCCTCTTAATCCTTGGCCTTCTCTGCTCCGGGGATCTCTCTTCAAACCACCTAAGTCTCATGAACATGGTCTCATCCCAGGCCTTCTAACTACCAATTCCTGGAAACCTCTCCATCATTGTCGTATGTGGCATCCACTCACTCACACTCATCTCCACATCACTGTGTCTAGTACATACCTCTAAAGCACCAGGACCAAAAACCCAGAGATCCTTCCACTTTTCACTGTGCTTTCTCCCACTCTGGTCCTCTCTTCCCTCCTAATCAAGCTTCAATTCCAAGCTCGAGTTTTATAATTTTTGCCCTGTTCACTGGGCTAAAACATAACTCAAGTCAACTACTCTGCCATTTTGTACCCACACCCACCAAAGTAAATGTGGCTAGAGTGAAAAAAAGAAAAAGAAAAAGAAAAAGCATCACCTTTGGAAATGTTCACTGTTATGAACTATTCTGCTTAGCAACCATTCTTTATTTCCACATCTACCAAACAACTATCTCCTATCTCATTTTTTCTTCTCAAACTAGCTGGTGACTTCATCCTTCAATGAGAACTAAATTTTTTCCCCAAAGAAACCATTTATTTAATGAGTACAAATTTCCTAAGTACAAGTTTAGGAATATAGCGCTTCTTCCCAACACACCCGCCCTCACACTTTCACTCCCACCCCACCTCCTCCTCCCTCTCCCATTCCCAGTCCCATTCTACATTAAGATTCATTTTTTTTTTTGACAGATAGAGATAGACCATGAGAGACAGACAGAAAGGTCTATTCCATAATTTCTTTACCCAGTCTTTAGTTGACGGGCATTTAGGTTGATTCCATGTCTTAGCTATTGTGAACTGAGCTGCAATAAACATGGGGGATAACGTTAATTTGCTGATTTTACTGATTTTACTGCTCTTGGGTAAGGAGTTAGATGGCTGGGTCATATGGCAGGTCTTTATTCAGATTTCTGAGGTATCTCCAAACTGTCTTCCATAGTGGTTTTACCAATTTACATCCTCACCAACAGATTAGGGTACCTTTTCCCCCACATCCTCACCAGCATTTGTTTATTGATTTCTGGATGAAAGCCATTCTGACTGGGGTGAGGTGAAACCTCATGGTGGTTTTGATTTACATTTCTCTGATGCCTAGTGATCCTGAACATTTTTTCATGTTCTGTGGGCCATTTGGATTTCCTCTTTTGAAAAGCATCTGTTTACGTCCTTTGTCCATTTCTTAACTGGTTGGTATGTTTAGTTGCTGTGGAGTTTGATCTCTTTATATATTCTGGTTATTAATCCTTTATCAGTTGCATATTCTGTAGGTAATTTCTCCCATTCTATCAGTTACCTCTTCACTTTACTGTTCCTTTTGCAGCATAGAAGCTTCTCAATTTGATGCAATCCCAGTTGTTAATTTTGGCTTTGATTGCCTGTGCCTCTGGGTCTTTTCTAAGAAATAGTTGCCTGTGCCAATATCTTTTTTTTTTTTTTTGACAGGCAGAGTGGACAGTGAGAGAAACAGAGAGAAAGGTCTTCCTTTGCCGTTGGTTCACCCTCCAATGGCCACCATGGCCAGCACGCTGCAGCCGGCGCACCGTGCTGATCCGATGGCAGGAGCCAGGTACTTATCCCGGTCTCCCATGTGGTGTAGGGCCCAAGGACTTGGGCCATCCTCCACTGCACTCCCTGGCCACAGCAGAGAGCTGGCCTGGAAGAAGGGCAACCGGGACAGAATCCGGCGCCCCGACTGGGACTAGAACCCGGTGTGCCAGCGCCGCAAGGCAGAGGATTAGCCTAGTGAGCCGCGGCACTGGCCCTGTGCCAATATCTTGCAGGATTTCCCCAATGTTCTCTAATAATGTGATGGTATCAGGTCATGGAATTAGATCTTTAATCCATTTCGAATGGATTTGTGTGTAAGGTATAAGGCAGGAGTCCTGCATCATACTTCTGCATGTGGAAATCCAGTTTTCCCAGCACCACTTGTTGAAGAGACTGCCCTTGCTCCAGGGATTGGTTTTAGCTCCTTGGTCAAATATAAGTTGCTTGTAGATGCTTGGATTGATTTATGGCATTTCTATTCTGTTGCCTTAGTCTATCCATCTCTTTTTGTATGAATACCAGGCTTTTTTTTATTATAATTGCCTTGTAGTATGTCTTGAAATCTGCTATTGTGATGCCTCCAGCCTTGTTTTTGTTGTATAAGATTGCTTTAGCTATTCGAGGTCTCCTGTGCCTCCATATGAATTTCAGCATCATTTTTTCTAGATCTGGGAAAAATGTCTTTGGTATTTTTGGTATTTTGATTGGTATTGCATTGAATCTGTAAAATGATTTTAGGGGAATGGATATCTTGATAATATTGATTCTTCCAATCCATGAAAATGGAAGATTTTCCATTTTTTGTATCTTTTCCTATTTCTTTAATATTTTATAATTCCTACTGTAGAGATCTTTGACATCATTGCTTAAATTTATTCTAAGGTAGTTGATTTTTTTGCAGCTATTATGAATTGGAATGATCTTAAAAGTTCTCAGCCATGGGGCCGGTGCCATGGTGCACTAGGTTAATCCTCTGCCTGTGGACCAGCACCCCATATGGGTGCTCGTTCTAGTCCCAGTTGCTCCTCTTCCAGTCCAGCTCTCTGCCCGGGAGGGCAGTGGAGGACAGCCCAGGTGCTTGGGCCCCTGCACCTGCACGGGAGACCAGGAGGAAGCACCTAGCTCCTGGCTTCAGATCGGCACAGCTCCGGCCATTGCAGCCACTTGGGGAGTGAACCAATGGAAGGAAGACCTTTCTTTCTCTCTCTCTCTCTAACTCTACCTGTCAAATAAAAAAATAAAATCTTAAAAAGTTCTCAGTCGTGGCACTGTGTATACAAAGGCTGTTTATTTTTCTGTGTTGGTTTTAAATCTTGATACTTTACCAAACTCTTCTGTGGGTTCCAATAAGTCTCTTGGAACAGTCTTTTGGATCCCCTGTATATAGAATCATATAATCTGCAAATAGGGATAGTTTGACTTCCTCTTTCCCAATTTGTATCTCTTTGATTTCTTTTTCTTGCCTAATAGGCTCTGGCTAAAACTTCCAGTACTATATTGAATAGCAATGGTGTGAATAGGCATCCTTGCTGGTTCTGGATCTCAGTGGGAATGCTTCCAACTTTTCTCCATTCAATAGGATGCTGCCGTGGGTTTGTCATAAATTGCCATGATTGTGTTGAGGGATATTCCTTTTATACCCAATTTGCTAGAATTTTCATCATGAAAATAACCATATGGCTTTTGTTTAGTAGGTTGTTAATGTGATGTATCAGATTGATTTGTGAATGTAACCATCCCTGCATACCAGGGATAAATCCCAGTTGGTCCACGTGAATCATCTTTCTGATGTGTTACTGGATCTGATGGTTAGAATTTTGGGGGGGATTTTTGCATCTATGTTCATCAGGGAAATTACTCTTTAGTTCTCTTTCTCTGTGTGTCTTTTTTGGGTTTAGAAATTGGGCCAGCGCCACGGCTCACTAGGC